GAATTACCACGCGTCGAATTGCCACGCGACTAATTACCACGCGTAGAATTACCACGCGTCGAATTGCCACGCGTCGAATTACCACGCGTTGGACTACCACGCGTCGAACTACCACGTGTCGAACTACCACGCGTTGAACTACCATTGGTTAAACTACCATGTATCAAACTACCACGCATTGAACTACCATGCGCCATACTTCCACGCGTCGAATCTCCACGCGCTATATTCAATACTCCAAAACTCTCTTAACTCTACAAGAATGTCTACATAACTCATAAATAAATAGAAATGAAAAGATTGATCCATTCACCCCAGCCACACCAACACAGCCATAACCGGAATCGATTTCATCACACAGCCCGTTTCCGGTAATCGTAGCAGTATAGTTTTCGTGGGGTATCGAGTTTAAGTTACAGCCGGAAGCAGACCGTTTGAACGCGTCAGTAACCAAGCAACATTCTGGACAAAAACACTAACCTTGTCGTTGCATATACAGCAGGTAAGGTTTTATTCGAAGTCACGAATCCGCGCGTGGACACACGGGACCCCCAGCGACACTTATTTACCTCGTATCGGAAGCGTGTTACATGCTTTACCTACCGTTCTACACGACTTCCGTCGGCGTCGAGTGCTGATACGACTTGAAGAATGAGCGAACAGGTGTGTTTCCCTTCATCGTTTGTGGACGTTGTTTCTTCTTCGCACGTGATACTCAGTGTCGGGTTACTTGGGTTCTGGGTATTTTAGATATTTTTCCGTTTGAGGAATTTTGAATGTTTTGAAATTTGGAGATGTGGAAACTTGCTAGAATTGAGGAATTGGAAAATTGAGTAATTGGAAAATTGAAAAATTGAAGCGTGGAAAAATTGAAAAATTGAAAAGTGGAATAATTGAAAAACTGGAAGCTTGAAAACTCATGTGCTCAAAAACTTGAAATCTTAAAAAACTAAAAACCTGGAATCTTATAGAATTTGAAACTTGAAATTTTGAGAAATTAAGAACTTGAAATCTTAAAAAATTTTAAAACTTGAAATATTCAAACTAAAAACTTGAAATCTTAAAGAGCTTGAAATATCAAAAAACCAAAAACTAAAATTCTTGAAAAGCTTGTAAAATGTAGAAGGGTAAATATCTTCCCAGAAGAGCAACGTTTTTCAATACCACACGGAAGGAAATAAAAGTACGTAACTCACTCTAAATAAAAACCCTAGTTACGCCACTGGCCGTGTTGCAATATAACGAAGTTTATTGACGCTAATACTTTTCTGAACACGTGTTGGTTGGACACGCGTTTCATGAACCAGAAAATATTTTGTCGTTTGTTACTTTAATGACACGATACGAGAACCTAACCATTCTCTGCTAGCTGCGTGGTAGGTAAATTTACTATGGGCTGTTACACAACGTTCGTAAGAATTATGGTGACAAAGAAAACGTGTATGATAAGTAACGACAATTTATACGATACCTGTGATACGTATATTGTAATTAAAATGTACCCTGTATACTGTTCACAATTTATATTGTCTTGTAAACAACAATATTTGAAATTATTTGTTGCATCAATGTTACATTCTTTTTATTATTTTAGTGGTTTTTTTTTTTAGGTTTCATTATTAAGTATTTTTGTATTTGCTAGCTTTATTGATATTTGTAAAATTCAAATTCAAAATTAATATTTAATATTTGTAAAATTTATTTTCGTGTTACCTGTAATACATTATCAAGTTATGTTTTTAAATTTTAATCACGTGCTATTAATTTTTCTTACATACAAGTCTGAAATTCAAGTTTCCCGCATTTTAGCATTTTAGAGATTTCAGGGTTAAAACTTTGTTAGTTTCTGAACTGCAATTGACGTACCATAAACCAAGTACACCTAAGTCGGAGCACTCAGGTGGTTTGCAAAGATATGGCACGTGGTGGTATCCCCATGTCTCGTATATTCCCTGAACTTATTGGTTTTTAGTATGTATGGATTTCTTAGGAAATATGCAATGTTCTATAAATCATCTATTTAACAGAAAATTCATAGTTGATGTTTAACAGTATACTATATTAATTATAACAAAATTAAACTTCTTAAGTTTTAGTAGAAATTACATATGTCAGAAATTATATACATATGTGAAATTATATATGTCAGAAATTATATACATATGTGAAATTATATATGTCATATGTATAACAAAATTAAATATGAATTAGAAGCAAATAATTTTTGTATATATAATTGTATTACTTCTGTAAATAGCAAACTTCACTTTAAATTTATTATTGAATTGCAGATAACAGTACTCCACATGAATATGTGATATGTGAATATGTACATATGTGAATAGTCATTTATTTATTGTTTGCAGAAAATATCTTATATGAATATACATACACATACATGCAATTCACATAGGCAAACCTAAAATAATTTTCTGAAATCTAAAATTGAGTACAGGCAACCTACAAGCAAGCTAACAATAAAACAGCCTTTCGCCTGTCAATAAATGTCACTCTACAAAGATATTTTGTACATCCACTTTAACTGTGTCTTTCTATCCATCTCTGAAGAATACCAAACTAAACTATCAAGTTAGATCACAGAGAAAATAGCTCCAGAAATGAGAACAGTGAAATAGCACGAAGTCGGACGTTCAACGTCTACCTATGAACCCAATTGACAATTCACTCGTCAATTCATTGACAATCACAGCTTCATGTAAAGTGTTTTATCGATGGTCTAATAAATCTAATCTCAAGTAGATAATAAATCTAATCTAAAGTAATGAAAGTGAAGTAATAATAGAAAATTGTGTATGTAATTACCTGGATTAACGGCGTGGCAGTGGTTGAGGAGCGGCAGCCAACAGAGCAGTAGCACCGCTCTCTGCATCTGAAACAAAAACCACAAGCATTTTTCAGACATCTAATTGCTATTCCGCAGGGTCGACCGTCTTCTAATACGATTACACGATGATGAAAATCCACGACGAAAACGGGTCGACATCGAAACCACGCGCGAAACCGTCGAAAGACTAATTACGGGAGAGGAGTCGCCTCGAAGAATGCAGCTCGGAATAATTCAGAGGAAGGAACTACATATGTTTGTTTATGGAGATGTGTGATAAGGTTGTGAAGGTGTGATATATGGACGTGTGTGACGAGGTTGTGAAGGTGTGATATTGCGGATGGAAAATTTTAATTTCTGCAAAAATACAAATTTTGGTAGTTTGGAAATTTGGAAATTTTTTTGAAATTTGAGAAATTTTAGGGAAATTTGAGAAAATTGAGAAAATTAAGAAAATTGAGAAAATAGAGAAAATTGAGAAGATTGAGAAAATTGAGAAAATTGAGAAAATTGAGAAAATTGAGAAAATTGAGAAATTTGAGAAAATTGAGAAATTTGAGAAATTTGAGAAAATTGAGAAAATTTAGAAGATTGAGAAAATTGAGAAAATTGAGAAAATTGAGAAAATTGAGAAAATTTAAAAAATTGAGAAAGTTGAAAAAATTGTGAAATTTGAGAAAGTTGATAAACTTGAGAAATTTGGTAAACTTGAGAAACTTGAAAAATTTGGGAAATAATGGCAAAATTTGAAGGTTTGAAGTGGAAAATTGATGCTGATGGAAACTTGGAGATTTGGGTCTTTGAGAGATTGAAAATGACAAATTTGGAAACTTGGAGATTTGGGTCTTTGAGAGATTGAAAATCTCAAATTTGGAAATTTAGAAATTTGTAAATTTGGGTTTTTGAGAGTTTGGAAATCTCAAATTTGGATCTTTGAGAGATCGGAAATCTCAAATTTGGAAATTTGGAGATTTGAATCATTGAGAGATTAGAAATCTCGAATTTGGAAATTTGGAGATTTGTGACCTTGAAAGGGTGGAAATCTTGAATTTGAAAATTTGGAAATTTGGTTCTTTGAGAGACGGGAAATCTCAAATTTGGAAATTTGGAGATTTGTGACTTTGAAAGGGTGGAAATCTCGAATTTGGAAATTTTGAAATTTGGGCCTTTGAGTAAATGGAAATCTCAAATTTGGAAATTTTGAAATTTGGGTCTTTGAGAGAGTGGAAATCTCAAATTTGGAAATCTGGAGATTTTTTACCTTGAGAGGGTGGAAATTTCGAATTTGGATATTTGGAGATTTGGGTCTTTGCGAGATTGGAAACCTTGAATTTGGAAATTTGGAGATTTGGGTCTTTGAGAGATTGGAAATCTCGAATTTGGAAATTTGAAAATTTGGGCCTTTGAGAGGATGGAAATTTGGAAATTTGGGTCTTTGAGAGAGTGGGAGTCTCAAATTTAGAAATTTACAATAGTGAAAATTAAAAAATTTTAAATTTTGAAAAATTGCAAACCTGAAAATTGAAATATTTGAAAACCTACAAATTAAAAAATTCTCCAAACCTAAAAATTTGAAAGCCTAACCACCTAAAACCTTGAAAACCTAAAAATCTCCAAACCCAACCAAAAAATTTAAAATAAAAAATTTCAACTACAGAAAGTTCCATACAAGAATCCTAAACCCAGAACTCATAAAAAACGACAATACTCCAGAAACTGTAATAACCCGTCTGTAATAAATTACACCCAGCGAATTACAAATGACATGTAATACCATAACTTAAAAGTGAAGGGGGTATTTGAAAATTTTCCATATATACGTTATCATCGTTGAATCTAATGTTTGCACGTGTCTAATGGCACACCGGAGACCAAGCGTATTCTATGGTGAACTTAAAATTCCACGCGTTCACAGGACGAATCAATTTGACAAATCGGCCGTCCCACTCGTTTTCCATCCCGTAAAGTAAAGGATCCGGGCGTGGCTCTGTTTTCCACGGGATATGTAGTTGGACCGGGTGTTTCGCAACGAAAATGTCTGGCCCTACTGGAAAATTCATCGCATGACTGCTTTTATACATACAGATCGTTCGTGCGTGTACGCGCGACCACGTGGGACTGTGACCGAATCAAAATTTTAGAGGGCCTCAGGGTGGAGGGACATTTCATAACTATTTTTAAGATTCATGTCGAGATTCTATTAGTTGCATTTACAAATTTTGTGGTTGGAGATATTCGACCTGTTACGTTTATTAATTTTCGCAGTTTATAATTTTACAGCTTTTTAGTTTGTGTTATTTCAGTTTTTGCTTTTGTTACTTTTCAGTGTTTTAATTTTTCAATTCTTCAATTTCTCAAGATTGCAGGTTTCAATTTTGCAATTTTTCAATTTCTCAATTTTTCAATTCTTCAATTCTTTAAGTTTTCCATTTCTCGAGATCCCAATTTCTGAAGTTTGCCATTTCTCGAGTTCCCAATTTCTTAAGTTTTCCATTTCTTGAGTTCCCAATTTTTCAAGTATTCCATCTCTCGAGTTCCCAATTTCTCAAGCTTTCCATTTCTCGAGTTCTCAGTTTTTCAAGTTTTCCATCTCTCGAGTTCCCAACTCTTCAAGTTTTCCATTTCTCGAGTTCCCAATTTTTCAAGTTTTCCATCTCTCGAGTTCCCAACTCTTCAAGTTTTCCATTTCTCGAGTTCCCAATTTTTCAAGTTTTCCATTTCTCAAGTTCCCAATTTTTCAAGTATTCCATCTCTCGAGTTCCCAATTTTTCAAACTTTCCATTTCTCGAGTTCCCAATTTTTAAAGCTTTCCATTTCTCGAGTTCCCAATTTTTCAAGTTTTCCATCTCTCGAGTTTCGAACTCTTCAAGTTTTCCATCTCTCGAGTTCCCAACTCTTCAAATTTTCCATCTCTCGAGTTCCCAATTTTTCAAGTTTTCCATTTCTCGAGTTTCCAACTCTTCAAGTATTCCATCTCTCAAGTTTTCCATTTCTCGAGTTCCCAATTTTTCAAGTTGTTAATTTTTCAAGGCTTCAATTCTTCAATTTTCGAATTTTTCATATTTTCCATTTTTCAAGTTCCCAATTTCGCAATTTTTCCACTTTCCAATTATTTAATTTTTCGATTGTCCAATTTTTTTAATTCCATCAATCTTCAATTCATCAATTCTTCGATTCGTTAATTATTCAATTACTCAAATATTCAATTATTCAATTATTCAATTATTCAATTATTCAATTATTCCATTATTCCATTATTCAATTACTCAATTATTCAATTATTTAATTTTTCAATTATTTCATTTTTTCATTCTTCAATTCTTCAATTTTTCCATTCTTCCATTCTTCAATTTTTCAATTACCCAATTTCTCAATTTCTAACATTCTGAGCTCCCAAATCCTATAACTATCAATAATCACTACCATATTTACTGCATAGTTTTATCACCATAAGTAACTATCTTTACACAAACCAATTTCACATAAAACAAAAATTCCAATTATTTTACTCCAATAACTGTACTGAATATACTATAAATTCTCAAATGAGTACACTGTAAATTAATTATTAAATTCTCTTGAACTGTTATAAAACAGTCAGTATAACACTGTTATTCAGTTGAAAATAATTTAATAATTAATTCATATTATAACCGTATTATTCCACAAAATTAACTGTATCAATGTTTAATGGCCCACGTTCAAGAACTGCAATATACGATATTACAAGGGATATAATAATCATAACAGTGTATTATATTACACTTTTTAATGCAACGAAAACACCGCACCAATTCTTCACCCTACAATTTTCCAACTTTTACTTTTTATTTGTGCAGGTAATTTTCGATTCGTCGACTGAATTATTAAATTTCCTTCAAAGCTCTTATAATGAAATTCTGCAGCGACAAATTGAAAAATTTCGTGACGTAGATCTCGCAGTTCTAATTTATCGCGTTACGTACAGTTTTTAATTCGCGATGTAAAACATATATCCGCATGAAATATATTCTGCAAAAGACTGTGCAAATTTTTTGGAAGTCTTCGAAGTTGCTTGCAACAAAAATGTCTTCGAGCCAAGCTTCTAAAATTTATCTACTTTTATGTCCACGAAATTATTCAGAGGCGATCTATCGAAAAAACGTCTTCCGGGACAAATGAAAGAAACTAATCCGTGCAAATAGCAGATCGTAAATATGAATTAAGCAAATGACGTAGCTTCATTAAAATTGCACCATCGATTGGTTTCGAACATCGGGCGATCTCGCGTGGTTCAATCCACTTAATACGAGAAGGAAAGGCTGGTATCCGTCTAGGTGATATTTCAAATGTACATTTCTTGCTATTAAGTACACGCGAATACCATAATCCAAACTCGCTATACCGTGTGTGCTCGATTGAATACGATGTTTTATGTAGGCTTGTTCCGAGGAGACTTTTCTTATTACCTGCAGTAGTATAAAACTGTGTTATGGCAGACAGGAATGAAATAGACGTTCGTGAACGCGATAGAGTTTTATGGGAGAAATAGGATTTGTTGCCTTTCGATTGGGAGATTCACGAATTATTGATATTAAATGTTGGGGTGGTTAGTAATAATGGAGTAGTTATTTTTAATATTGTGATGTATCGAATTTTATAGTTTGCATTTGTCAAACTTGGAGATATGCAGATTAAAGTTTTGGTCGCATTCATAAATTCATGAATTTCTAAATTAATCTAACTTATAGATTAGTCAATATTCAAGTATTCAAGTATTCAAGTAATCAAGTTTTCCAGTATTCAAGTATTCAAGTATTCAAGTATTCAAGCATTCCAGTATTCAAGCCTTCAAGTATTCAAGTATTCAAGTATGCAAGTATTCAAGTATTCAAGCTTTCAGGTATTCAAGCATTCAAGTATTCAAGCATTCGAATATTCAAGTATTCAAGCATTCAAGTATTCAAGCATTTAAGTATTCGAGCATTTAAGTATTCAAGCATTCGAGTATTCAAGCTTTAATTAGTCAAGTAGTTAATTAGTCAAGTAGTCAATTAGACAAGTAGTCAATTAGTCAAGTAGTCAAGTAGTCAAGCAGT